TAAACTATTCTCCCTTTAATATTAACCGTTTAACAAAATTCTATTACTAAATATTATTATTCAAAAAATATTTTTCCGGTATTAATATGAAATAATAATATATTTGTATATTGATATATTTTATTATTATGAACTGTCATCTTTATTATTTTGTTATTTATTAGTATTGTATTGTAAAATATTTGAAGTTATAGTTGTAATTTTTAAGCCCGAAATGTCCAAAAAAACCCCACCAAATTTTAAAAATATTATTATTTATTTGAAATAACTTGAAAAAAATATAAACAAATTCACTTGATTACTCTGAACTACCATAGTGTTACTTAACATTTATTATTCACAGTGTCACCTCCAAAAATATTTATATATTTTATGCTAATGTAACAAAAGCCCGTTCCTTTAAGTTAGTTTTTTTGTTATTTTATTCTTACATACCAATCCAAGAGACAACATGTAATTCGGATAGACCCTTCCAAGAGACGGAGTGCAATTTGGACATTCCGATTTATATTTATTTTTTTATCATGCAATTTGGATGCACCGGATTGTACCTATTATTTGTTATACCAGTAAAATATATCTGCTTTGTACTCACATGCATTGTAATAAAATAAAATAAAAATATACCAAGTGAGTGCAATCATATGTATATTACGTACATTTGCTTATTTATGATTGCATATAAATCAAATTATACTTTTTCGTAATAGTACAATATACTATAGGCTAAGATATTGATTGTGTTATAATACCCAGTTATTTATTAAATTAAAAAAAATACAAAACATAACAAATGCAATACTATAAAAATCCAAGTCGTTCTGCTGTATATAATTATATACCTACACAAGCGGTTTCGTAAAATGTGTACTTTTAAATCCCCAAAAAACCAACTACATCCAATATTCTACCAGATAGTACCCAAAAAGATGATGATTGAAGCATTTTTTGTACTTACAAAAAGAGTAAAATACATAAACACACATAATATCAGGGTAAAACCAATATTATAATAATCGTTTTGCTCGTCCTCTAAAAAAGCTAAGATAAATTAATATATTTAGCTGGATTATGCCATAAAAATTATTTTTATTGCAGATCTTATACATTTATACAATCACAAAATAATATACAAATATTAATTATTACAAAAACTCAAATGTTAAAATATCTTTTTCCGTGATTTAAGTTTTCTTTTTTTTAATTTTAATTTGAAACAAACTTTGGGAAGTTTAGAATTATTGAAACTTAAGTTAAAATTATGAGATATTCTAAAAGGATTGTATGACGTATTTTATTCTTACAAAAGTAGTGTTGATAACGTAAAGAAAATTCATCTGACATCACCATTAAAACGAAGTGGGTCTTGGCTTTACTGAAATGAATAAAATCAACCAACACTGAAAAGCTTGAAAAGATAATGACACTTGAACCACTTTTACATTCACGTCAACTAAGAATATATAGACACTTAGACAAATGTATCAAAGTACCGTTATATTATTTTATTGAGGTTCACTTTCATAACCAAAAGAACCAAGTAATATTCCATTAATTACAAGATACAACTACGTAAATTATTTTCCATTTGATGTTTTAAACCAATATAATATACGTCTATGTATCATTTCATTAAAACATAGATAATACGTATACGCCAGTGGCTTGGTGAGAAGTGGTCGTACGCTCAATCCGAGGAAACACTCTGAGTGTACTTAACGGCCGGCGTTGCTAGCTTCCGGATGGGTGACCATTACTGACCAACCGGGTTTATAGCAACATATTCTTGCCACACATACACAAATATGTGTTTCAACCCTACCAATATATTCACCTACTAAAATACACCAAAAACCCCCTACTAAAAAACAAAAAAGAATTAATGTAACACGGTTTTGATGTAACATTACAAAAATGACTTTAGGTACATAACATTTGCAGTGAATGCTTAAATTAGTATTTTATATTCACAATAACATTTTGAAACTATTTAAAATCATTTTGTGCTATTTATAGGTATCAGACATTTTCCATTATTCTTAGTTTTTTTAAAATTAATATCAATAGTAAAATGTTCGCTCGGTCAAAAAGCTTGAGAATTCAATACAAGGTTCCTCGTGAAATGTATATAGGTACTGGTTAAAAAAAACGAACGATATTCTCATACAATGTAGGCAAAATTTCCACAATCCACATAAGTTAATTTTACACCATGGTATTGACGCGTTCCTTAACAGTTAATAATAATGTAAAATAAAAACTAAAAAAAATTACTTAGCAAAAACATTTATTTATATAAATCTACAAAGGTACTCCTTGTATTATGTCTGTGATCAAACATCTAAACTCTACAAAAGATTCAGTGAAAGACTACATCATCATTAAAATCCTCTCATATCAAATGCATCGTCATTCGATCTACCTGAATAGAAAATCGTCCATCAGCCTTTCAGTTTAATCATTATACATACTGAATTTTATTTCTATAATGAACAATACTTGAAGTCTTGAACGCATATATATTGTAAGTTTCTATTAAGTTATTAATGTTATTATTATTACTATTATAGTATAATAATCACTTATGTACCGTTACTTATTTTCAGAATATTATTATCAATGGATATTTTCTCTAATCGTGTTCACCTTATGACATTATTTTATTTGATCAAATTTAATTAGGTTTCTATGTACTAATGAAAATCAAATAAAACACTGCAACCATTATCGATTTTTCAGATATTACAATAGAAATACATATTTATATTGAACTAATTGTCTTGTCCTTCTTATTTTACTTTGATAATATAATGAGGAGGATATTAAGGCACCTGCTGTACGTATGCCAAGTATGTGCGTAGGTGAAACAATGACAATTTTGTGTAAAAACAATTCACAACAAAAAACAGTAAAACATTTGCCCAGTTTTACCATCAAAATGATAAAAATGTTAGTTTCACATTCAACTTTATCATACTTAATTTGATTGATTAATGCAAATAAAAAGGTTAATAGATTTTGATTAATAGATAAAATAAATGATATCTATTTTTTTTGTTAAACTATAAGTAATAATATAATTTACTCATTTTCCTATAGAATAATAAACTCAATAAAACAATTCATTTAGGTACGTTAAATAAAAGAGCTAAGAAAATTTTTGTAAACCCCTGAATAATATTATATTTTATTATGTTCTTATATAATATAATATTAACAGTATAAGAATAGTATGTTAGTCGACGGCTCGTCGACAGGAATCCGCTGACTAGACGATTCGGCATCTAGCTGGGTCGCCGGCCGACACACGGGGAATAGGTCAGTCAGTCGTATTTCCACAGATTATTATACATAACTTATGTTTTATAAGTTTTATATTTCTTGTACAATTAGTTAGAGTTAAAACCAGTAATAAAACCTATATAATTAATAACCTAATCGTGCGTTAAATTTATTTGTGTTGGAACCATGGTTTCATAACAACATTTTGTCAACAAAAGTGTACTTAATTAATTAGTCAAATTACGTCAAGTCTATTTTTCAAATTTTATGTAGCTTAAATTATTCTAGTTTAATTGACATATCTCTAGCTATAACTTCATAATAAGTTCTATGGACAAATAATTTTTTTAATAATTTTGAAACTAATGATAATATAACATTTATTATAATAAAAGAAAATTATTTTTACATCAATTAGATAATGTTTGTTGAATATTTTAATGTAAACATATAGATTTTTCATAACTTTGAATTTGAATAATTTATGAATTATATTGATTATTTTTTTTAATACAACGTTGTGGAGTATATCACATTTAAATAAAACTGACCGGATTTCGCCTTATACCGCCATACCAACGTAAAACTGTTATTATGAATTAGTATATTTTATTTTTTTGTTTAAAATAATAGCAATTACATAATAAAATTTTAAATATTAGTTTTTGGATTTGACAAAGTTAGGCTTAGTAAGATTTTTTTCAAAACTTAGAAGTGGCTGAGGCTTTTTGATATGTGCATATATTTAAATGGTGTAATGTAATTTTTAATGAGGTAATGATGATCGTGGCTTAAAAAAATGTTGGAAATAATTTAATAAAAAAAATATATTTACGTTTCGTGTAATATCTAAGCATTTGTTCCAATTATAATTATAATGATTAGAAACACATACAGTGAATATTACAATTTTAGTCTCAACGTTTTTAAGCATTTTTGTTTTATAATTTGTTGAAAAATACAAATTTCCCATCATCAAATATTTTAATCATGTATGAAAAAAGTTATGTTATTTTTCAGATTTATGTTTTTGTAGATTAAAACCCTGTTTTAATGAGATTTGTTTAATCGTTCAAAATGTGCCTATGTGCATCAGTAAAAAAGTCTGTAAATACTGCTGATAACAAAAATAATTTTAGTACGTTTACAGAATTTAAATATTGAACTATACGGAAATGAAATATGACGAGCCTGTCGAATTTCGATGCCTATAAAATGTAATTTTTTTTTACCAATGTTAACATGAGGGATACAAGCTGTAATATTACAAGTTTGAATGCGTCATGAATATGAGTCCTCACTGAAAAGTAAATAAAAAAAACATGCTAACGACACTAGGCCGCGCACTATAAGGTCGATTCGGAAAATAGTTTGAAACGTAAGCCACCTTAATAATAAATAAACAAATAATGGAAGGTAAAAAAGGTAGACACCGGTTGGCATTATTAAATTCAAAAGTAATAATTTATAACTCCCGAATAATAAAAAAAATAATTTTTAGGTGAATTTTGTTTATTATTAATTATTATTCAGACGGAAAAAGACGAGTTTTTTAGAACGGTTATCAATAATATTACGCCCTTGACAATCAAAAGTTAATGTCTAATACTTTTCGTAGTCGAATTATAGTCCCGTCCTACATCCTACATAACATGGTTATTATTGTTATTATTACTATCATCATCATCATCATCACCATCGCTATTATTGAATATCACCTTATTTATCGTGTTTACACTCGCTCCGTAGTTGATAAGCATCTGGACAGCATCCGTGTGGCCATGCCAAGCGGCCATTAATATCGGACGCATCCCGTACTGAAACATTTTAAACGACCGATTTATTAAATTTCACACGTACAATGAGGTTTTGAATGTTTTGATGGAAACGTTCAGTGCCCATAATATATTTGAGGCAAACACAGAGTCTTCGCAATACGGGATCGTAATAATCTAAGGTTATGGTAGAATTTAGGACAATACGCACACGGTCAGTGGTTTAAAATTCAGCATTAACAAACGGATATTACATATATATATATATTATTATTATACTTTTGTTGTTACAGTTACAAAGTTTGCGTGTAAAATGTTCACCAAAAACACCGAGTGTAATATAATTATATGTCGGAAGAGAGCTTAAACATTGTGTACAATGATAATATTAAGGGTAGATACCTCAGGTAGGTGTATCATATTAAATTATTATTTTTAAAATTCTTCAACCTGTACATAATAATATGTATTTTTGTATACAACAATAGATATAACGTCATCTGAATCATTTAATTAAATTACAAACAGTTAAGCTACTTCATTAGTAGATACCGCCTACTTACAATTATAAATAAAAACTGTAATTTTGTAAAATCCGTAGGAAGGGTACACGTCAGTGAGATATTTAGTATACCCTTAACGGTGTTACACAATATAATTATAATTTAGCATCGCGTGCTTCCAATTACATTTCTATCAATAAAAAACACTTATAAATAACTTTAATTTAAATATTAAAAGTTGTTATCAGCTACCGAATTTGCAATAAACGAAAATAAACAGAGTGGAATCAGTGGATTTAACGTCGATCCATCCAGTTTGTTTTATGATTTCAATTACAAAATCTAATCTGGTTTACGCTATTTTAATTTGGTTGTAATACCGTTATGACACAAAAATATTTTAATTTGAAAATTATTCAAATCTCATTTAGTGACAAAATATACTCTCATAGAAAAGTATTATTATTGTATAATAATATAAAGCTGTATGATTATGAAATTTAAAATGCAAAATGAAATTTAAAATATTCAAAATATAACTAAATAAATTTAATAAACGTATAATTAAAAATTATAATGACGTATGTAGGCATAAGGACATTTGGTTTATTCTACATAATTATTTATTATAAATTGTTTGTTATAGGCTATGATAAATTACATCATTTCAAATTGATATACTATCTACAGATAACTGTGTAAGTACACATAATTACTTTGTCTTTGGCTTCAATATCACACTTTGCATTTATAAGCATCTCCATAATTTCGGTATTTCCTCTGGAAGATGCCCAGTGGATAGGAGCTCTGCCATACTGAAAGTAAAATAAAATATTATTGTACATGAAAAGGATGTTCAACAATATCAAACTTAGACAGAATTCTTCTATCCAATATTAAAGAAGATAGGTGTAATAAATTAAGCATTAATTTCTCCGTAAAAATGTAGTTTCATTTTAATTATTAAACAATGCTGACTTACAACCATTATGGTTTTGCCATCTATGGTGCTGCTAAGAACTCCAACAAGAGAACCATTTAAGCTTTTAAAAATATCTGCCTTCGCTTACTTCAGTTGGAGTTTCTTAGTTTATCTAAAACGGAACCCTTAAATCTGACCTCAAAATTTGTTCAATCAATTAAAAGGCTGCATATTTTTACAGACATTTCCATACACAATGTCAATCCAATTTCAACCAGCTTAACTGTCTTTATACTTCAAAAACACTTCTAGAGAACTAATCTAACGTCTCAAACAGAGAAATAGTTGTAGAGATGCCATGACCTGAACATCTAAATCATTTAAAACCATTAGCGGTGTCGCAATTGAGTGACTTTCTTTCACATGTTTTTCTTTTGTTTTTCATTACCTACTTAAAGTTAATATCGTAAATAATTAACTTATAGGACAAATTCACAAACTCTACAATACAGGAATAAATTTAAACTTTTCAAAAATAAAGATTGTTTTCTTTAAAAAACAAAAAAAAAATTAATTAATGACGTTTCACAAGCGATATATTATACATATTACATATACCTTTACAGAATACAAGTATGTCGTTTTCAAGTAACAAATCAGCAAATTAATTTTCATATCACTCATTTAAAATAATGAATTCACATATACTTAAAATAAACAAACACCACAATCATATTGCATTATTAATTATAATTAGTGAACATAATATGTATGTGGGTAATTTCTTAAATGGATCTTTGAGTTTTATTAGTTAAAATAGTAATAAAATAAAAGCAATGAAGAATATAAAAGATAAAATCATTGCCTATAAACTGAAAACCAGCACATCCGTGAAACGGTTTTAAGACTCTAACGCGTCTCTCAGAACCACAGAGGTTTAGGGAAAAATGTCAAATGCTATATAGTTTACTTTTATCCCAGATTATCCAAGGTAAGTTAGACACTAAAACCTATAGGTTGAATTTTCCCCATCTTTTTATTTTTACTTTATTAAAAATAAACAGCATAAATAGCACGAGAATAAATCCACGACATATAAGTCCTTACATTAAAATAAAAACCATTTAATGTATTTCATAGAATTTATTTTAAGTTTATTTTAATACCATAATATAATGGATACATTATATAAATATTTAAAAATGATCTAAAAATGTGTTAGTTATAAGTTTAAATTTGAGTGTGTTCGTTATTTAACGAATTGCAATAATTTATTTACTTTAACAAGAAAAAAACAAACGTATGAAAACATTTCATACTATATATTATGTGCGTATTTAGGATTAAATTATTTGAACAAGTGACCCATAATAATATGTGTTATCTATGTAAACTTATTATTGCCTATTGTTAGTTTTTTACTATCCATAAAATCCATAAATCTGCATTTTAAACAGGATTTCGAGGTAGAGGATTATAATTATTATGAAGTATAATTTATAACTATCGATAGGTTTAACTTGTACTAATGATTTCATTAGTTTTCATTATTTGATATTCAAAATAATATTTTAGTTCATAAACTGTATATATGGTGGTTATTACATATTTTATTATTTTAAAAATATAAAATTCTATACTTTTTGTTTTCTAACTATTCAGAAAACTAGGTATGCATTTTAATTATGCACTATTAAGCTGTTCTCAGATTTTAGGAAAACATCATTTAAATATTATTATGATATGTTATATTAATTAATTATTTATACAAATAATTCTGAAAATATGTCAATATTGTAAATTGATTCAACTATTTATTTCTAATCATAATGTATTAATCTAACAGTTCAGAGTTCTATAAATAAAAATAAGTGACTAAACTATTTGATGTATACGTGTTGGTTACGAATCATGTATAATTAATATCATTTTAATATAATTACATGTTTATTTATCTTAAGTTTCGTATCTGATGTCAATTCCTATCCTCTGCAAAATAGCAATGAAGGCTCATCCAAGGTACCTAAGGTATTATCATAAAAAGTTTATTTCTTATATTTACATAAACGATTCCGTAATACACCGTACAACTATGAGTTTTGCAGACTCAAACTGCCAGCCAAATTTCAAGACATTTATTATTATATCGTCAAATTTGTTATGGCGGATGGAGCAAAATGCCTACAAAGAGAAGTACCAACAATTTAGCATAAAAAACAAACCTATGATCCTCATTCTAAGTGTTGATAATATACGTGCGATCAACCGCCAAATTAAGGACGACCGGCCATTCACTGAAAATTGACCTAATTTAAATTGTCAACTTCGATTATTATATATATTTTTTTACTCACCCTAACGCATTTTTTTAAGCCATGTTTAGCAAAAAAAATTTACACACACACGAGCATAATATCTAAAAACTAAAAACGATATTAAGGTGTACAGCAATGTGTGCAGAACAGAGATATTTCAAAGACCAATAAGAGAATTATTTACCACAAAATATCCTTTCACTGCAGTGTGGATTATTTTTAATTAGAAGCAATGAAGTTGAACGGAGTTATATTTGCCCCCGTAATGTCAATATACCTTTTTGTGCATTTTCACGATAATATTATACAATATGTCCATACATTTGTTTATAAGCGCCAAAATGTTTTTGCGATCAGTCGCCGTATTATAGGTAACGAGTTTACTGTTTCATTTGGTTTATGTGTTTCCGAAACACGTGAACTGTAATTATAAACTATTGATTAATGATGTATAATATCAAAGTAGCTTACGTATAATATACTATTGCCCCTATTTACCACTATATATTTATTCAGTAATGTTACGTAGGAATAATACAAAGAAAGTTTAAAGTAACGTGATCGTTTCATTATGTTTTGTATATTTTAACTGTGATTTATTTTGTTGCCCATGCCTAATAAGATAGCACGATAGAGGATTAATGACGCTTACAACTACTTATTTTTCAAAATACCACCGTATTATTTTACCTTATAAACTTCGTACCTAGTTATTTTAAACCTTTTGAATTAATAAATGAGTAAATACAATACCTACTTCTAATGTTTAGTTTTTGAGTTAATATAATTCTACACGTATAGAATTATTTATTGTACATGCAAATAATAATAGTATTATATGATTAAAAACTCAAATTACACTTTCAAGAATTGATTTGTGAAATTATTTAAATGTTAAATGAAAAGCAGGATAGGACACAGTGGCTGTACATTTGATCACTTTTCTCACTTTGATCATCTGGCGTAACATAGTGTTGTATAATCTATCACATTTAAAAATCAATTCTCAAACAGAATTCAGTTAAAACCTCATTTGTTTAAAAAAATTGTAGTATCTTTTGCATAGCTGTTGTTTGTTCTTGCAATTGGGGTTAAGTTATTGAATACATTCAAAAGTCATTTCATCAAAGTACCACAATGATATAATTTGAATGCATAATGATAACTTGTGTACTTAAAATAAGAAAAAAATGTCAGATGAAAAAAATGACTATAGAACTATTGAGTGAATTCTTCGTTTCTCATTTTTCAGTTCAGAATTTAAAACACATTGTTGTTAAAATCAATAGTTATTTTGTCCCGGGAAGGATCTATAAAATAAGAATAAAGTAGGTATTGAAAAACTTTGAGTTTAGAAAACAAATAAAAATAAATATTTCAAAGTTGTTTCAAAGTGGTGACATATTGTTTTTTGTTTATTAAAATGTTAGTCTCAATTTTATATTATTCTACAAGTATAATTCAAGTACAATATAAACAAAATAAGATGATAATAAAAAAATATTCATATAATCAGATTTATATTTTATTATAAAAATAAAACAGTTATCGGATATTTAGCTCTAAGAAAACATTTTTTTAAAATCGTATAGACAAGTTAATAAAGAATCGTCATAAATTAAAAATATAAATCATATTATTCGGTATCAAATATCAAATAACATCGCACATTATAAAGTACACGAAGACAATGAATGCTGTAAACTATCAAATTTTTTTTACTATAAATCTAATATCTTCATAGCTACTACATTTTATTTAGGAACATTTTTAGTAATTTGCTACTGCATTTTAGCAAAATGAACTACCTTACTTAACGTAACATGTATATATACGTGTACGCTATAATAATCGTATGAAAGTAAGTGAGAATAATCTTCAAAATAATTACATCGAAATAATACATGAGAGAGGAATAATTCTCTGATTGGAACAATCCGCTGTGTACTGACTTTATATACCATGTTGTTCTTATCTCCAGAATTTGATAAAACCTTTCTATTTTACATATTACTCGGGTTATTAGCTAATTTAAATAGAATATGATAAGTAAATATCGTCGATGGTAACCGATAGAAAATGTAATCTAAAATATTTAAATCCAACATTTTTGACCATACAATAATATTAAAGTAATGCCAGTAGTAGATAACAGACTTACATATTATTATTTTAACCGCCGTTGACTCTTATTTTAAGACGTGTTCCGCATACATATTTTATATTGTCATATACACGATACGTTTACGAACGACTTTTGAGAATAATATTACAAATTTACCAGTGAAATTTACCGCAAAAATAATAATAACGTTGTTATCTTATTCTTGTTACGGACGCACAATATCTGATCGGGTGATATAATATTATGACATGATATGTTTTTTATAATGTTATATTAGCACCAGAGTATATGATCGATGTAAAGGTGATTTAATAACATCCAGTGAATCGGAATCAGGCGGTAAAAATGTGTTCTGCGTCGGTTTGGATTCAAAGTTCGTGTAGCCGGTATTTTTTTATACATATATTTTATAAAAGCGTTAAGATAAATTCTGACTAGGTGAGTGGAATAGGATGTACTGCAGTCGTAAACGTGTAACATATGTCTAGGATCTAGGAATATAATATTAATATTTAATACATTACAGTGTTCGGCGTGTAAAATATGTTGATCAAAAGAGGACGCAAGACAGTTATGTAGCGAAATTGCCTATCCAAGACGCCGTGCCATCATAATTGTTTTCATGAACTTCATAAAAAAAAATACGTATTAACGTATTATATTATTATTATCATACATGGAGTTAGCTCCCCGACTCTATGCAAACATTTTCAACATTATATCAAACAATTATATAAAACTGTAAATTCAGTCTCCTAATTTTGTAATCCATCAGAAAAGTTAGAAATCAAAAAACAAAAATCGAGATTCAAGTTCAAACAGGAAAAATGATCTCAAAACAGTTGACTGTAGATAAGAAAAATAAGTAAATCACATCAAAAACGTTCAGAGGTTTTCATGGATTAAGTGGTTTTCTTTCAAGGTATGTAAGTATATTGATAAAATAATGCACAGAGGCCAATAATATGACTTTTAAAATATAATAATCAATACCTGTTCAAAAGGTCAAGGATGTTTTAGAAATATTGTTTATCAAATAATTTAGATAAATGAAACTGGTGGCATAATTATTATTGCAGCTAATATTATTTACATAGACAAATGGGTTACAATAATGTATATTTATAGCCAACCATTTATAATAAATGACGGCTAATAACATATATGAATGTCTATTAAAAAAAACATTCGACATTATACCTGCGCGTGAAAAATGTATAATATATAGATCGTTTTTATTTTATTTTTTATTGTTTTATTTCATTTTGACAGCTCGGCCGTTGGTAGGTACTATGTTTACATTAATATCACAAGAAGATACACGATAAATCGAATTGAATATTTAAACACAAGACACGAATTTACAATAACGGGTTGTCAATTCGGACCAAACATTTAGATTGCATTCATGACGTTTGGGATATCAGCGGTCCTTTTCCGTCTGGTACATACGTAATATTATGTATGCCAGACGGTAGCGGTAGATGTTGTTTTTGCTTATTTTTTCCGAGGTATTTCTGAAATCCAACTTTAAGAATGCCGGATTCGTGTCAATTTTTATTTTCTCCTCCCCTGGTTTTCATATCAGTTTTTTCGTCTAACACCTATACAGTATACATATTTCATTGTATGTTAAAACTATAAACAAGCCACTCAAATGCATCGCTTTTGTTTTGATTCTTTTAGCATTTTATATACCCTATGGTATATAGCTTATTCTATGCAAAAATTGTATAGAAGATATTTTGACGTTATCGGGTTTCAAGTATTTTCCCTTTGCATGTCACGCTATTTTCAAAATCATAATAATTGAGCAGTGATTATATAAAAACTACTTCACCTTTATCTTATGCTGACTAATAAGGAAATTACTATTAGATTATCATCTAAGATAACATGTACACCCCTCTAGATAAATAAAATTAAGCTATTCTTTGACTAGTCCTCATTTAAACTAATGTATTAATACTTTTTATGTTATGAAACATTTAATGATGAATTTTTATTTTATTTTTTTAAACAAAATTCTATTAGTTATAAGCAGGTTATTATCACACTCTATCTTAATTAAGTAACTTATATATTTCTGTATTCTGTTGAAGTTGACAACTATGCAAACAATAAAGAAATATTACGACACACATTTGAAGATCATGTATTGTTATTCATTGTTTTTCAAGTGTATTGTGCTTACAAAAAGGTATTAAATACAAGAATTTATAATATTATACATGAATTAAAAAAGGCATGGACGATATAAAATAATAACTTTCTAGTCTGATTTATATTAACACAAGAATGTAAATAATAGGATTACATAAGATATTCACGAGTGCACACATATCGCCATTATTTGTTTAAAAAAATGTTTCATGTATATGTCTAGATAAAAAGTTATTTATGATAGGTAGGTACATTCAAACATTAATATTTATTACTGTATCATCTAGATGGATTTAAATATATTGTATCTTATATAATATTATGTATAATGTATATATGTATTTTTTGTTGTTGTCAACTGTGCTCGACACTTGTTATAATCTGGCTTACACTCAAGAAGGGATGTTTACCTGATATTATTCGTTTTTTGATAATTTGATGTATAGTACATAAGTTATTAAAAAGTATCAATTTTATTTTTATGATGGTTATAGCTAGGATGCTATTAATATATACTACGTGGTATTTTGTTCTATGTTATTGATTATTATTCCTCCCCCTTCGTTCCACCTTATAAACAAGAAGGGTCTTCAAATAAGGTTCTTCGGGAAGTTCTTAACAGTTGTCTGGCATATGCTTTTAAGCTACATTTTAAACAGTTTGGTTATTGTTTGTTGTTAGAGCAATACGCTAAGATGTTTGAATTGGTTTTGTCTGAGTCGGCCAGTGGAAATATTCTAATACTATAATATAATATACTATTATTTTATGCTTGGAATTATAGGTTTAATTGGTTTTCTTTTTTTCGTCGTTCATTTGAATAGGTTCACTTTTCGCGCTACTAGCGATTTGACAAGACAATAGTAGTTATTTTAAAATAGTCATTGTTCCATTATTCCTGTATAATTTAATAACTCCCATTTGCCATGTGGGTTGTATCAAATTGATTTAATCTGCTTTATGTAAAATAATAAACAAAGTATCTATACAACTACATAAATGTAGGTAACAGTTTATTGATTTTTTATTGGGAAGAATGAGTATGTTAAAAGTCTGGACAAATCTGGAATAAACTGTTGTTAAATTAAATGAAGCAAAATATGAGTTTTAATATTTTTGCCTGATCATCAAATAGCTTACATTTTTATGGATTTATGAATCTTAAGTTCTACAAAAAAACTCGATGGGTGTTAAACAAATAATAAATGACAGAGAAAATAAAATTAATAGCCATAAACATAATTATGAATTTCACAGTACTAAGTTCATGGGTAATTCGGTTTGATCATTTCCATGATGGTACATAAAGAAATCTTTAATAATTACTATTAAATCACAAAAAAAATCAATATACCTTCAACAAATATTACGTTAAAGGCAACAGGGATTTGACAACATGGGGTATTCCATGGTGCAACGACTTTATATAATAATAATAAAAACAATTGGAAATCCGGAACACTACTTACAAAAGAGTTTCAAACGCACCACGGGGTACTCGGAAAATTTAAAGATTAATAACACTGTATCAAAAATATTTGAAAACAATAATACATTATTTTTACAATCGCTACTAGTACTTACTACAATGGTAAATAATTGAAAATGTTTTTTTTTCCTATGATACCTATTATGCAGTTCATAATATTATATGTATTAATTGTACAATTTAATACACATTTAATTCTTCTACAAATAATATTATTTCGACTCATACAAACCAATTTGACACATTATAATACCATAAAATGTACATTATATGAAGCTTTTGATTAAATAATTATATAAAAAAAAAATACAAATTTTAATTTTTTTTTTTATTACCAAAAAAAATTACCCTTGGCGAGTGGTGACAAAGAACATTGAAATACAGTTATTTTTTACATTATCATTTTCATTAAGGACTTATTTCTACATATATACTGATAAGTTTGTGCACAAATTTATAAAAGTTGTATAGTTAGTTATATTTTTATTTCTTTATAAGATAATATCCAAAACTTATAACTATATTTGAATGTTTCTTGTAAAGCCGCTCGGTCATATTTAGATGGATTAATATTTTATGCTATATAAAATGCTTATTTTTATTTCATTTTGATGAAGTTTTTAAATTTTAACTATATGTTGATTAATTGCATACAGTCGTTTTATACATAAAGCAAAAAAAGGATTTCGAAATTAAACCTTAAATGTTTTAGTATTTCAAACACGTTCTCGTTTACATTTTCGATGTCTCGGAGATACCATAAATAATAATGTTATTTTTAAAAAGTTCAGTTGTGTTCATTAATATAAATTTGGGGTTTGTTTTATTTTCACGGCTACGGTTTCTTAATACTTGTGAATCGGAACGTACACCTTAACACGTGCATGACATAACTTAGCTGAATTTTGACCAATAAATCCATATTATATTATATTGTTGTAAGTTATAAATAAAAATATTATTTTCATAACTCTATCAAAGGCCTGATGACTTCACAAAATAAGGACAATTAAATATTGCTGTAGAGAATTATAAGTTCTATATTTTAATGAATGCTCAAAATACTTTATAGTATCATAGTTTTTGATTTATCAAAACAATTTCATTATGTTATGTATGAGTCACATGATATTTACAGTATTTTAAACATAATTGTTTATTATTTAAAATTAATTTCAAGCAATTGGTCAGTACCATTATACTGTTCATCAAATGTAATAACAATAATATTGTATTATCATCGTTATTTTTAAGAATGATTTATAAAATAATTTTTCATAATATTTATGCATAATATTAAATAAGTATTAAGGTACACTACTCACATTATTTCGGGAGTTTACATCTAATGGTTCTTTGATTACTCTTTTTACGGCATCTGGGTCATTTTTTATAACAGCTTCGTGTAACAAAAGTTCGTTTTTAAGTACTGAAATGAATATAAAACATATGATTTAGTAGGTACAGCATAATGAAAATGATTAAATTATGTATTTACTTGAAACTATAATGAAAGTACGTAAATAATCATTTTAAATTCAAACAAAAATATTGTGGTAGGTAAATTAAGTGTTAAATATCACAATTTAAACATAGGCACAAAGAGTGGTCAAATATGAAATTCACGAACGTAATAATAATAAGCTTAGAATATTATTTTTTTTTTTTTTGTTATCTATGAATTTAAAACTGTTATTTTTCAATTTTAAAAAGTATATTATGATTCCCACACCAAAACCGATGTGAAAATAATGCTTTTTAATTTTGATGAAATTTCAAACCTATAACTAGAGGGACATAGTATATAGATTGGTCACGCGAGTTTATAATATGATAAATAATTTTCAACCGTTAAGATGCTAAACAGTATGCTATTATGCGATGGTAAATATTTTTTTTAATATTTAATACTACCATATAATACACATAACTGCATATTTATATATATATTTTAAAGGAGTTTCTCAACTAATGCCACTTTTAAATTGTGTAACAGCATTTAACTGTGAATTCTAAATTCGTCATATATAATTAAGAGTAAAAGAAATTTGTCGCCATAAAATAACGACTCGGCGTCCAAACAATATCATACGTAGACATTTCTGATCAATATTAGAGGATATGTGCGTTTCGTTATTACGATCTTGTCGGCTAAACAAGCCGGATTTAATTAGTCTAATTTGACTATTGTCATTACGTTAATAGTATGAGATTGTTTAACATATTATTGTACTAAACGTTTTGTACTTATACTATTATGCCTGATTGTATTAAAATTACCGCACTGCGTTTAGAGTTTTTGATTTCCACTAGCAGCAACGAACATTTCGAAAACGTATAAATAACCGTAAATTATAATTATTTTTTAAAATTTTATTTTTTAAAGATAAATCGCATTCATAGTTATATATTATTATTACAATACACAATATAATACGAACCATTGCTTGTCCGACGACATCCTACTTCAGTTGGTGGCTCTGGATTTTCTTCACCACCACCCATGGATACTCGTCTCAACACCACACAGTCGTCTACCCTGAGCATATTATTACCGGCATTACCCGGAGTGCATCTGAAATCAATACACACACACACACACACAACGTTTAATATTAATATCATGCATTTAAACATTTAGGCCAATATAGCACATTATACGCGGTTTTGAAATGTAGACGATAACAAATATTACAATAGTATGTACTCTCTCGCAGACGATAAACGGGATAAACGATCGTAAATCGAACTGCTTTTACCATAGTCTCCATATCATCTAAGCCGATAATAATATTATTTCACTTCCACAAATATTTATCGAGGGCGCATCACCGCCAATCGTCGTGGTTATATAATAAAGACGATATGTAAATGCGTGATATATAATATATAAATACAATATTTATGTAATTTAAGATTTTTTATTTTGTCTTTAGCTGTTATGTAATTGGTGCAAACGACAGATTTAACAAATCAATTCGTTTTCATACGAAATCGATATTTTATAGAAAGTAAGAATGGTACGTACATACAGTATGTACTATATTAATTGTATGACGTACTATGTTATACAATTTTCCTATTGCAAAACGGAAAATGACGTATAATATTTAGCTGCATATTTCATAATATTTAAATATAATATTATTAATCAATACTCACAATATTTACTAATAATTATTATGGGTTTTTTTTTTTTACTGATGAATAAAAATGTATATAATTAATTTTATGTGATGAAGATAATTAAAAATAAAAGTGAGTCAATTAAAACTGTTTAAACTTGTAGTAATTTCTCGAAACCCAGTCATAACAAAACTTTCTCAATAAAATTTTGTTTTCATCGTCTTTCATTTGGAACTTAAAATACGTAAAAACTTGTCATAACACGAAGAATGCATAAAATATAGTAAGTAAGGTTAATTTTTTTTCCTAATAAAAACACAGGTTGTAAAATGGTAACCTTAAACGAAAACACAATTTGATTTAATTGTACATGACGCGTAACATATTACGGCAGTTATGAGAACTACATTCATTATATTATAGAAATAATAATATTGTTATTTTTGTTTTCGGTAAACAAAGTGAGGGTGCACATAAAATGTTGAAAACTTTATTCCACATAATAATAATATTGTTTTGATATTATCCATGTCTTATTGCCGGCCTTGTTTTATTTTACAAAACACTAATAATGAGACAATACAATACATATAGGCTACATTATCATAATACTACTCAATTATTTGTTCACATATACAAATCCCCAAACATTAGGTAGGTAACCATTAACTAATGGTATCTCATTATTTTAATGCATTGATTTCTTCAATTATTTTTTCAGTATAGAATCAAAAAGGGTACTTCCAATAAATAAATTAACCTTTTTTTTTTAATCACATCCTCGACAGTTATTAAAGTTTATCGAGAGGCATCTCAGTGTAGTAATTTGAACTATTCTAAAATACATGATCCATATTAGGAATTTAAAACTCTAAGTTGAATAATATAAAATTAAAAATATTATATTTCGATGTGTGGCCGCTATTTATTTTACACAATATTTCGTTTAGCCAGAATCCCAATCTTGTGCTGCTACGAATAATATAAGAATGGATTGACCTATTATAAAACTTAAGCTCGAAACATCCTTGTTAATAGATGCGATAGATTTTTTGATATTCAAATATTTAAGTGAATTATAAGTTTGTAAAATATAAAATTAAAATATGGTTAGATTTGTCATAGAATATCAAAATACCATAAAAAAGCCAACGTGGCAACGATAATACATCATTTTCATAATTTGAAGTTTGATTATATAATGTTCATTCACTTTTATTTTTAATTCAAAAACTCAAGGTTGGTTCTGTTATAGTTTTCAAAATGCTCAGTATGTTGAACTTAAGTCAGAGGCAGAAAACAAATAGTGCACATCAATCTTTTAAATTGAAATGTACTTAAATACATCGATTCAAAAAGTTGATGCTTTAATTTTTTTAATGCTTTTTAGTTTAACAGAATGAAAATACTAAATAGTGTAAAATGTTTAACATAAAAATTAAAAATAATACTCACTTTAGTAATTAATACTGTTGTATTTTGAAGTATGCACTTAGTTTGAAGTATTTTAAAATACCTACTTCAGGGGTTGTATATATTTACATGACAATAGTGTACAATGGTGATTTTTTTGTTATTCAGCAATTTTATGATCACATGCTCGAAACCACTTAAAAATAAAAAAAATTGAAGATATTATCTAATTTTCTTTTGAGACCTTTGTCAGAGAATATAAAAGAAAAATGAAAAAAAATACGTAGATTAAAATCATGTCGTGAATTATATAAAAATGTCACATTTATGTTTTACTTCACATGACCTGATCCATACTTAGCTATTATAATATTAATATTGTAGACCCACAATGTCGACTCAAATGAAAACCATTTTTAACGATCAAAATTTAATAAAAACTTAAATTTAAGAAACACGCTTTTTAATTATATTATATCATAATATTATGAAAAGTAAGAAAAAAATTAATGATTTTATTGAAGCACAAAATATATTATTGTGTGTAGTAAAATCTCCTTATTGCTGAATCACTCGACACCAATTGAGACTCCCACTATAAAGGAGTTTCCGTTATAGGGAGACTAAAATAAACGGGATATAGGTTATACTCGAATGTTGTTATTTTCCGCTGTAAGTGGGTTTTCGTTTTATAAGGGGTCCGTTATAAAGAGGTTTTACAGTATTACAATGTATAATGTAATACGACGTAAGTACCTAGTAGAGCCATATATGCACAATATACATTTTATTGTACAATGCATTAAGGTGCAATGCATGTATACTATAGTATTATCTATTTTTTTTTTATTATTTATGGTACTTGAATTATTAATTTATAAAATAATTTTCATTGCGTAGCTAAATCTGGCAGATTATTGTTGAAAATGACAATGTAACGAATAAAGTAAATAGATAATTCTGTCTTCTTAATGGAGGAGACAGTGGTGCACACTGTGTTTATTATACAGAGTCGCTTTATTTTATTTTGTCTGTTCGTATAAGTTACACTCAATAACTTTATACGATCTTGGCATATCTTCCTATTATTAGTGTCTGTATATTAGATGGCCCAGCTTTATATTCATATACTTCGTTTTAATTGCAACATTTTCCAGATAAGTCTCTCTGCAGCAGGTATATTGTCGTGGTTGTAATTTGTTTTTTTTCTTTTATATTATATTATCATGTTCTAACTTACAATATTCGTCGTAATTCAGATAATCATAGAACATACTTAAATTAAATAATTAAATGTAATAATATTATATTCTTATGCATACGAGTACATGTACGTTATTTATACGATACAGTAATCTAATCAAATCCAATAACAACTACAGTAAGCAGCTCAAATGGATCACTTATGTAGACACACTACACAAACTATAAAATCGTGCATTCATTTAATTAAATAATTTTGAAGTCAATATATTATAAATTTTATTTAGTTCATAATTGTTTGTTTTTACATTTTCTAAACCAATATTTAACGTAAGTTGTTTAATTTGCTTGCAAGTTATTAATGAAAATATTTTGATGAATTAAATAATATATATTTCGATACGATCTTTAAGATATTTTCAATACCATTACCATGTAAATTTAGATTGTTGTATAGTCGCAATTCTATGTAATTTCTACGTAGAATGGTCAAAGAATAAAATGTTTTTTGTTAGAAAAAATAAAACATTATCTTTGTTTTATCAAAGGACTTATATTTTGAGTATCATAAGTTGTCTATAACAAACTGTATGTATACATAAATAAATAAATAAAATGATCATATTTTCAATCAAAAATAAGAAATATGAGAGATGTTTATGAGAGATATCCAAGATGAAAAATATTGACAGTATTATTAAAAAAAAAAGTTTATAATATTTATTCTGTATCCAACAAATGAAATACGAAATTGACAGTTCGATTTAGCTATTGCTTACTGATGCCAAATTTAACTAATGTTCGTAATTTCAAAAAATTAAATTAAATTAATCCATAGAATGCATGAAATTCCACCAATTCTGTAATCATATTTATGATAACGATGTTAATCGTAAGCTTAAGAATAACTATTACAAAACTGTTTAACAATAAAATAAATATAACTCTGTACAAATAGGCAGGATATGTATTCAATACAAACCATAAGCCAGGATGTCATCATAAAATACAATTAATTACTTTCTAGTTTCTATATTGAAATTATTTTTAAATTTGGATTTTATTTTTAAACAAAAAAAATGCAGTAGGTACTTATATGTGCATTTACACAGTTATGTTTTCTAATGATGAAACCTTATTTGCTGTAGGTAACCTTTTTTTTAGTAGGTGTAGACTCCTACAAGTTTATTTTTCTGTTATATCGTGGGAAGAATTATTATAAAAGGTAAAATGAAAGACCACTGGGTCAGACACGTTTTCCATTATCCATTATTTACATATTTTGACCGTCTAGACATTTCATAATACTGTTGATAAATAGAGAAATTAAACGAAAGGACCATTTATACTGTGACATTATTTACCTACAAAGTTTAAATAATTTACAAAAAATATAATATGATGTTAATATTAAAGTAGTAAAGGTCATATTATATTTTATTTAAAGATGCCTACTATATTTTTGATAAAAATATTATGCATAAAAACTATTTAAAAAAATGTTAAGTTGTTAATATTATTATTTTTTACAGTGTGTCTTTTTCAAAGATTCTTAACTTAGCCATAAAGTGGCAGGTGTAGTCAAGGACCCCTTAAATACAAATAGAGATAGATGTACAATGTTTTTTTGGTGTTTGAATGCCTCTGATTTCGAGTTTCTGGTGAGCCGTGGTAACCATGAGTTTTTTTTTGTTTGCGTTTGCGACGGAAAAGAGCACGACGACAGGGGTGTTTAATTCCATTATAACTGTATTAGCATCACTATCAAATATCTATTGATTATCTGGTTGACAAATTAGTTACTACCGAAATCTGCAGAGATACGACTTTTGC